CACGTAACGCCAACAGAACATTTTACTCGCAAGCTTTAATGCGGTCCATTACACACCGGGAGAGTCTTGGTCCCAGAACGGCTTACTCGCTGTGCTCCTAGTTTGAATCGCAAGATCACAAAATCCCTCGAGACTTTAAAGGTCATGGTTTGTTTATGCAATCCACCCTTAAACTAAAAGAAGGAAATCATGTTTCATATCACTGTTTAGAGTCGTATATGATGCAGTTCCTCTCTACTGCCAGGATTAAAGCCATGAAAAACACACCGCTGCAAATATTGAATGATGTTGGGAGTAATGGGCCATTAGCTCACACGTAAGCTACATACATAAAATTACAACACTGCAATAGTTAGAAAATTACAGGGTATTTTACACTGAAACAGTGTGTGATTTCCTGTCTAACCCTGACAGTAAAAATTGACATGTCCCAGAAGCTGCTGTCGGCAATAATAGAACCCGATCATATTCTTAGTGGCGCGGCGTGGTGTGCTGCTTTTGGGACGTGCCTGAAAATTGTGGCTGGTTTGAAAAGTCAAATGACCCCATGATGACCCTTTAAACTGAACCAAAGCGTAAAAAACTAAACATGAATTAAATAAAGTAAGTCCTAAAAAAGAACTCACTAAATTTAGATAATGGACACGGATGTGTGTGCACGTGCGTGCGTGTGTGCGCGTGTATGTGTGTGTGTGTGAGAGTGTGTGTGTGAGAGTGTGTGTGTGAGAGAGAGAGAGAGAGAGAGAGAGAGAGAGAGAGAGAGAGAGAGAGAGAGAGAGAGAGAGAGAGAGAGAGAGAGATCAACATGCTTGCTGCTGCTGCTGCCAGAGTCCTTCATCTTGGCCCCGGCTCATATTGACCACATTTGAGGTTATAAATCACTGACAGTGAATGCAGTTTCGTCTGTGTGTGTCTGTATGGTTGAGTGCTTCTCTAGGTGTGAGTAGCTGCTCACAACAATGTCAGGTCAGAGGAGCAATAGAGCGAGCAGTGTGTGTGTTTTTTTGTTTCTTTGTGAAATCTGTAACTGCTCTAGTATCCGATGTGATCAACAGGCCAAGTAACAAGGTTTACCTAACTGCTTTTCTGTTTTGCACTTTCTTGCAACAATAAGTAGATGTTTTAAACATAAATACCTACTTTAACCAAACATTTGCTAAAGCTTTAAGGTACAAATCACAATACATGGAGGGAAAAAAAAGTTTTTGATTGAGTCAGTGCTTAATTTGTAAATCAAACATTACCAGAACCAAAAGTTCATGAGGGCAACACTGATGCTGGAACGTGCCGGGGTGGGTGGGCGGTGGGCTCATGATGAATAAAGTTTTGACAATTGAATATTAATTGTGTCCACAAATGTTAATGGAAATTTCTTTTGACACCCACATTTCTTTTGACAACCCAGCAGACCACAGCTGAGTGAATAACAGAGCCAACAACTGAGTGATGAAAGGATTTTAGCAGCTGAGAATTAACTCCGAAGGACCTCAGTCTCCTCAGGAGGTGGAGGCGGCTTTGGCCCACTTTATACAGAGCATCTGTGTTTTTGGACCAATTCAGTTTGCTGTTGAGGTGAACACCCAGGTACTTAAATGTATCCAAAACCTCAATGTCTGCATCCTGGATGTTTACTGGTGAGTGAGGAGTGTTTCTCTGGAAGTCAATCACCATTTTCTTTGTCTTAATGGTTTTTAAGCAAAGGTGATTACACTCACACCAGTCAACAAAGTCCATGATGACTGACCTTCAACATTCAGCCAACAATGGCAGAGTCATTTGGGGAAGCAGTAGCTCAGGTGGTAGAGCGGGTTGCCTCATGATCGGAGGGTCATGGGTTCAATTCCAGCCCCTGCCATGGGTATCCTGCTGTTGTGTCCTTGGGCAAGACACTTCACCCAACTTGCCTGTGTTAGTGGTGGTCAGAGGGGCCGACGGCGCCAAATGGCAGCCTCGCCTCTGTCAGACCTCCCCAGGGCGGCTGTGGCTACAAGTAGCTTACCATCACTAGCAGTGTGTGAATGTGAGAGTGTGTGAAAAGCGTCTTTGGGTGTCTAGAAAAGCACTATATCAGTTCAATGCATTATTATTATTATTATTATTATTATTATTATTATTATTATTATTATTATCAGAGAACTTCTGGAGGCGACAGCTGCTGGTGTTGTAGGTGAAAATTGTGGTGCAGTGCATTTTTGTATCTTGAAGTGAGTCAGAGCCCGCTGCTGCAGGTAGATGAATGCATCCTCCACCCCCGTTTGGTTTATATGCAAATTGCAGTGGGTCCATTTCCAGGGTCACCACTGAACGTAGATGGGTGAGGATGAGTCTCTCCAAAGTCTTCATCAGATGGGAGGTCAAGGCGACTAGTGTGTAGTGGTCTGAGTCCCTGGGATGTGATGTTTTTGGAACTGGAAACACACATGAGGCCTTTCTCCAACCCAAGGCTCAGGTTGAACATGTGTGTGATCACTACACAAAGCTGGTCAGATCAATCTTTGAGCAGTCTGGGGCTGATCTCGCCAGGACCTGCAGCTTCCCTGCTCTTAAGCAACCTTAGTTCTCTCCTCACCTAGTCAGATGTACATGGACGTAATTTTCACTTTAGAAGTGGGGGGGGGGGGGGGGGGGGGGGGGGTTTGAAACTTTACAGTATGCTCTAATGGGAAACAGGCTTCAACACAAACGGTTGTTTTCTGCTTGGTCCTAGAGCTCAACCTGTGTCAATTTAATGTAGCGTAATATTGTTTTTTGACGGTAAAAAGTGCAGGGGTCAAACCTTGACTTTGGAAAAAGTGGGGGGGACATGTCCCCCCTGCCCCCCCCCCCCCCCCCCAAAAAAAAAAAAAAATTACGTCCATGCAGATGTAACAGAGGAAGAAGTGAGGGAGTGTGTGGTGCTGAGGAGGGTTGGTGGTGTTGTTGAATGGTGTGAAATTTGTAGGTGGGGGGTGTTCAAGAAACCAAAGAAGTCCAGTTGTTTGATTGTACCCTTTGGATGAGCATGACCTGGATAACTGAGAACCTTCACCAGCATATATTTCTTTTAGCCTTGCTAGTTTGCGCCTCTTTGCTGCCCCCCTGCTTCATACACATTGACATATAAATATTGGGCAATGGGTTTCCATAGGCTCCAATAACACGTTTTTGAGGCCAAATGGGAGGTGGCCACCACCACCATTTTGACCGTGTCACAGGTTCCGTCAAGCCCAGACAATTCCACAAAAGGGAAGAGAGAAGGAGCTGAGGGTGGGGCTGTAAGGCTGGGATCAACTGACGACACCCGGTCGAACTAGCTACAAGCTAACCCAAAGCTAATGCGGAGGTGGGAGCTAAGCTAACGGAGGTAGCAACCTAGCTACAACCGGAGTTAACTGTGCACAACACCAGAGCTTCTGAGTCAGAGATACGCTGGGCTGGCCGCTGGATAAAAACCGGGTGGAACACAGAGGTCTCCGAGACCTCCACAAGCCGGCAGCCGCACAGCAGACAAGTGCCACTGCGATCTGAGATGCGCAGAGCTGCCGCTGGGGAGAACCAGGTGAAAAGGTTTCCATCCCAGAGCTCCACAAGCCGGCAGCCCACGCAGCAGACAGAAGCTGCGATCAGACAGAGGTGCGCCGGGCTGCGGGGAGGGGAGAAACGGGTGGAAAACATCGGTCTCCCGAGAGCTCCACGAGCCGATAGTCGGAACCCAGCTGCACCAACATGTTATATGTTGGGCTGTATGGTGGCACAGTGGTTAGCACTGTTGCCTCGCAGCACGAAGGTTGCAGGTTCGAAACTCGGCTCGGCTGCGGCCTTTCTGCGTGGAGTTGCGTGTTCTCCCCATGCATGCGTGGGTTTCCTCCGGGTACTCCGGTTTCCCCCACAGATCACAACATGCCCTATAGGTCATAAATTGTAAGTTGCTTTGGATAAAAGCGTCTGCTAAATGAATAAACATAAACATTATATTTCAACCCATTTTCTAAAGTGCAGCATTATGTTAAATGCATTGGGTTTTACCCTATCACATTTAAATTTCATGGTTAAACAGTACATGTTAAAATCTAAGCTCAGCTCGGCAGTGACCTAAAATACATAAATATAATTTTACTTACCAGAAAAAATGAAGTGGAGACTCCTTGGACGCTCTATTAGTGCAATTAATGCCACAGCAAGTCATTTTGTCCAACAATTGCACAAATAATATCCAAAAAAGAATACACAAACACAGAGACTCAAAATCCCGGAACAGTTTCCAGGCCAGACCGAGGCTCTACTGAGGCCTTTCCACGGAGCTAGCTCTGTGGTCACGTGGGTCTGATGCTCATTAATTATACAGAATTTTAGGCTTTTAATACACTTAAACAGAAGAGTGAGAAGAAAATTCACCCCCCTCAGAGTTGTCATGAGTGTAAACTAGATCATTTAAACCAAAAACATGTTTTGGAACCAGGCTGTAAACATGTTTATTTCTGCTGTGAAATTGGTATTTTTAACATGGGAGTCAATGAGGATTTGCTCGCCCCTAGTGGATGAGGGTGGAACTGCAATTTTTGGTACATACAGGTTGGCCTCAATTTTTTAGCCGCATTGTGGGGGCTTGTTCATACACCCCCCACCCCCACCCAACCCCCCCACCACCACCATATTTAACAAGCTGAAGCCAGACATTGCTTTAAAATTATGCTTTGTTACCAGAGAAATGCCAAAGGTGTCATAGAGCACTCAGAGTCATGTTGAATGACAGTGACTCACCTTGCTCTTCATACACAAAATGCAGTTAATATGAACTGTAAAAGTTTTATGAGAGGTAGCCAAAGATGGAGAAATATATGTGATGATTGCTGTCATCATTTTAAAAAAAGTGAAGAAAATGGAAATGCCAAAACGTGTCTGTTATCGTAAAACTACTGTCTTATCAACACAGTCTACCAGACGCAGAGGTGCATTTCAAATCTAAAATAAAGGTGAAAATAAAGAGAGAGGTTAATATTGTGGGATACTTTTTTACTCACAAATCGAGAGCTGGATATGATCTGGATCTTGTGTTTCCAAAGACCTGGAAAAAGAAAAGATAACAAGTAAGATCTGTAAACTGCCTGTAAAGTAATGCAGTGAAGTCTATTTTTCTTGTTTTGCCCAGGTATCTGAAGTGCCCCCTCCAATAGCCTGGGAAAAAGGTAGACATAAATAGTAAGCAGCATATTTTGCACTAAATCTCTCCTCTGCTTCTCCCTCCGTTCTCCTTTGAGAGGGAAACTTTTGTATCATAATGCAGTCTCTGAAAATAGCACTGAGAAAAGCTTAAAGTGAGTATGCCGGTACTGCTTCATATTTATATTCAGGAAAAAAAAGGATAAATTATTCTGAGGGTATTTGTGAGACACTGTGTGTGCCACTGAAACATGAATACCATGGGAGATTTGTGGCCATTTCAATGGTGATCAAAATGTTGTACAATTTTTTTCTGTGAAAGAAAAACTAACTGTAACTGATATTTCTCAATATATTAGGAAAACACAAGTATGACCCCTGCCTTCTCCTTTTCCTGTTATATATTCTATAATCTAATCTTATGTTAAAGAGGTTGTATTTCGTCAATCTCGCGATAGTTGTTCATCAATCAGGTTCTTGATCAAACTAACTAAAATAGCGAAGGGGTATGTTTTGGTTCACCAAGGTATGAAGGCAAACCTGCTTATGCAGAATGTAGGAAGAGTACAGCAAAAACTCTTATGAAATATATTTATCACATAATTTTAATACAACAAGAGGTCACATCTAGTGGAATTTGTTCTCTTTGGGGATCATTCCCATCTTTGAGACACCATGACAGTACATTTGACTTAAATTAATGCCATTTATAATTTAGGTACAGGATCAAGTTAAAAGGGAAAAACTCATTGACTTAAAAGTGAAGATGTCAATATTGTATCTGTGAATAAAATGTAATAATTTTCTAAAAGCTTTAATGTCCAGGTTTCTGTCAGGTATTCTTGTAGATCCTTTTAGAAATCCTGCCTCATGTGCAAAAATAGAAATGATCAGACACCAAGAGGATAAAATATGAATTGGTTTTAAGTATAAATATGCATGGGCATTCCTGGAGTTGAACAAGCGCTTGTGCTGTTCTGTTAAGGCACTGCCTCACCGTGTTGGGAATTACATAGGTTTAAAAAGAAATTGCAGAGAGAAGAGGTAGTTATTTATTGATTAGTCAAGTGCACCAAATGCCCCCTTTAAGAGGATGGTACACTCAGTAAGAGGCAAGCAGAAAGAGAGTAAAAGATGAATATTATCGGCAAAAAGAAATGAAAAATAAAATCACTATAGTAGAAGTAAACCTTTTTTTTCATGACTAATTTGTGTCTCCTTGAGGTACAACTGAAATGAAATAAAAATGTTGGCATTAAATGCACATGAAAACGTTTTGGATAATGAAAGTTTCAGGACAGATTAATGAAAACCTTCCTGGGTAGCCTGAGCTGACGGCTCTACTTCTCATTTCAAATATCTCATTTACGACAAACAATAACTAAGATTTCATACAGAGAACCACACCAAATGAATGTTTTTATATTTAGTTGTTTAGCACCAATGCATCGAGTATTTTCTGTCATGTATTTGCTTAGTAATTATTGGTTGCTGCCCCAACAGAGTGGATACGCTGACTGGCAGAAAACCACACAAACGATCCTCTTGGATTTATGCTTCATAACGTACGCAAACAGCATAACGTTTAAAGGTGTGGAACACAATTTAAACATTTTTAAAGATTATTTATGATTATCGGTCACTTGAGTTGTTCATGCAGGCTGAACATGAAATGAACAGGAAAATAGTCTCCTACACTTATTTCCTGCATTAGCTTCTGAAAATAGACAGTGAAGCCTGACAGATCTAGGTCACACTGTGACTTAACAGTCATGGACTCACCCATCTTGACTCACAACAGGGAAGGCTGTTGTTGGTTTAACTTCCGGGAAACGGCATGGAACATTTCAGCCTATAGTGGAAGCTAACCGTTAGCATTAGCAACTTCACCACACAACAGCACTCCTCAAGGCTTGTGTTATTTGTGGAGCCAAAACATCAATGTTGCAAAGGAAGTAGTCGTTGCTGTTAGCCAACCCAAGGTGAGATGTCCAAATATCAAGAAATGAGACTCCAAACTCTGTCGTGTTAAAGAAGTGAAAACCATTTAACCGTTTGCAGTGGCCTCTAGTACGAATGAATGCCTTGTAAGATGTTCTTGGATGAGGGACATTTACCAGAGCACCATTATCAGCAACAGCAATTTATCCACAACATAGTTGAGTTTCAGACGGCAGGTTTTGGAGTCTTATTTCCTGATATTTGGACATCTTGCCTCGGACTGGATAACAGCAATGCAACTCTACCACTGACTTGCAGCATGGGTATTTTATCTCCACACCATATACTTTCTACCAGAAGCTAACGCAGGAGCTAGACAAAGGAAACTATTTTCATGTTCAGTCTGCATGAAAAACTCAGAGTGACCGATTAAAATCAGAAATAACTAAAAATTGGGTTTTCAGTGTTCCACACTTAACTTCTTTAAACATGTTTTGTACGTTCTTGCTGTGTTTATCTTCAAATTCCATTTTTGGCTTTTTTTTAAACACAGATAAGGTTTTTCTTTACCTTGCTGATGTTTTGTTTGTGGCTGCAAACATCCTCAGAGCTGACGCTGATGGTGGCGTCACTTCCTTCTCCTTTTATCTGCGGGCAGCAGAGGACGTTGTCGCCCTCTGCTGCCCGCACTCCCCTCTCAGATGATGCAGTCCCATGCGCGATCCAATGAGTAAACTCCATCGTCTCTGTTCATGGTCCCACATCCACGTCTCCTTATCTCAATAGCTTCCTTTAACTAGCTTTTGTATTTCTGTTGTTCGGTGTTTATGATCCTTGTGTTGTTCCAGTCCATTACATGGTTTTCTCTTGTGCAGTGATCTCTTATGGCCGATTTTTTTATTGTACTTTCTGTTTCATCTTTTGTTGCGCTTGTGTGTTTTCGACTTGTTTCTTTTTCACACTCCTTTCTATGTTCTATTGTTCGTGTGTTGAGTTGGCGTCCGGTTTCTCCTATGTACGTTTTATTGCAGAGTTTGCATGGGATTTCGTAAACAACTCCACATTTATGTCCAGCTGGTATCTTGTCTTTTGGGTGCACTAGTCTGTTTCTAACTGTTGTTAGAACTGTTGTTGAGAGACATCAGCACCAGGTTTCTTCAGGGCCGGCCGAGCAACTGCGGCTTTCAACGTAGCTGGGACTACACCTGTGCTGAGGCTCCCATTGATAATCTGACCAAGTGATGGGCCAAGACACAGAAAGGCAGCCTTCCAGAGACGAGGCGGCAGAACGTCAAGTGGAGAGCCAGATGATTTCTGCCTTGCAACAAGCTTACTCAGCTCAGAATAAGAAACGGTATTGAGGCTCAGGATGGATGGAGATGGAGGAACTGGAACAGGGTCAACAGAGTTATCAGAAATAGCTGCTCTAACTTCCGATATACTTTATGAACAAAGAATTTGTGAAAATCTTCAGAGTTTCCAGCAGCTTTAGGAGACATGAAGCTAGGCTCCGGATACACCAGAACAGAGTTCAGTGTTTTGTAGATAATCTTGGGATTCTTAGAGTTTGTTTTGATGATGTCTGCAAAATAAGCAGTTCTAGCAGCCCTGACAGCATCCTGATAAGCAACCAGAGATTCTCTGAACAACTCACGCGAGACCTGTAAGCCATCTTTTTTCCACTTTCTCTCAGAGGATCTACATGCCCGCCTACAAGCCCGTGTGACATCAGAGAGCCAAGGCTCCCTCCTAGGCCTAGACTTGCATAGCTTGAGAGGGGCAACCACGTCCAGGACCTGATTACAAAGTAAATCAAAGTGTTGTGAATAGTGATCAATGTTAGATGGATCTGGGTTAAAGGTCTCTAACCTTGCAGACATACAGTCCACAAACTTTGCAGCAGTTTCTGCATCTAGGGCTCTGAACCTAGTAGCTGGAGCTTCACACACAGGGACAGGACTTGGCAAAGTAACATCACAGAGTATTGGAGAGTGGTCAGACAACACAGGAGGCAAAGTCACAAGGTTCATGACAGGGAGACCAAAAGAGAGAACCAGGTCCAGGGTGTGACCCCTGGCATGAGTTAGGGACGGTACCCATCGAGTTAAATTGAATGAATCTAGCAAATTCAAAAAACCTTTAGCAAGCACATTGTCAGGACAGCAGATATGGATGTTAAAATCACCAAAAAATAGGACATAGTCATATTTTAGGATACAGTCTGTCACAAGATCATGGAAATCATTAAGGAAGTTAGAGTCAGTTTTTGGAGGGCGATAAATCAGCACGACGAGCAGGCGGGGGGAGATGCACAGTTCAAATAGGCACAGTTCAAAGGAAGAAAATGACATGGTGGATGTAAGCTGTTTACAAGGAAAGCTGTATTTTAAAACAACAACCAGCCCTCCACCTGTGCCCCACGATCTAGGGATATTAAAACAGGAGCAGCCAGGTGGTACCAGCTCCAGCAGGGCGCTTGAGTCACCAAACGGGATCCAGGACTCACAGATGCACAGAAAACTCAAGTCATGTTGAATAAAAAAAATCCCGAAGAATAAAAGTTTCATCTTAATCAACATTGTTTTGTTTAACTTTGTGTGGGAAAAATGCCAACAACCTTAGGAAAAAATCTGTTTAATCAAATTAAAATTGAAGAAAAGTTGTGTCTGGTTCTAGCATTTCATATTTCCTATTTTCTACTGCATGAGTACAGATGTATTAATTCATGCACTTAAATATTAATGTTCTGATTTTATTGAAAAACTTGTTCTGTAATACTTTTACTATTGTGATCAAAAATATTTAATCTCAATTCTGAGGTTGCTCTGTAAATAGTTTTCGAATAAACAATACACATAGCAACTTCTGATCAATCCATATCAATTTCAGATTTAAAATAATGTATTGATGTAAACCACACCCACTTCCAGTTAAACCACGCCTACTAATTTCCAAATAATAAAT